CAATGTTTCATGTAATATAAAATTAAGCTAAATTTTCTTTCGAAACTTGTAACGTATGGATACGAACTGATTGTGATGTAGTGAAGCTATGATACGTGCGATTAAGATAGGGCTCTCTATTTAAGAAAAAAGAAAAGAAATAGGCGTTATAAACTAACTGCGACACAAAGATCGCAAAGTAGCTCGAGAGTTCGGAATTGTCGAAGGAGATCCTTGAATAAAAGTCGAGATGCGCGTTTCTCTTCTCGGGAGCGATATGTAAAACAACCCGAAATGAATAATAAGACAAGATCGCGTATATATGCTAGTATCTGATGCCGTGTGAGTGATGATCTTTCTTTTTCCTAATCCAGGAACGCGAAAATTGCGAATCGTAACCGATCGGCTTCCGTTTCTTCATCGACTTCGTTTCCGAAACATTTCCCGTCTCTCGACCGTGTGAGGAGAGACACGAACGAAGCTAGGATATCGCGAGGATCCAGTGTGCCTTCCTATATCTGCCCTGCAGAATACAAACAGTTAATATTACATAAATATTATAATTTCCCACTCAACACTATAATTTTAATCTAACCAGAGAGTTCTATAATATACTGAAGCACGTCTTCTACTAAACTATAGGAAACTGCGGCTTGATAGATAAAAGGAAGGCAAATGAATGCTTGTCTTTCTGATTTTTCTGCAAACAGCATCAGTCAGTCAATGAGTCCTAACAAAGAAAACAGTACAATATTAAACAAAGTATCTTTTAAGACCATAATGTGAATACACAATGAATAAGTAATAAAAGATTTAAACGGTCAAGCGGGTTTAAGTTTAATGCTTAAATTAAACTTGATATAATAAATTATACAGCTATTTTTATTGTAAAACTTTTGTATAAAACATAAATTTTTGGTATCTCTATATAGTTTTTGAGAATAATGAAAAAGCTGAAAACTACTTTACATATAAAAGGAGTGATTTCATCTTTACTCTGCCGGTTTCCTTCAAACCATTTTTTCGCCGCAATTACTATTTTCTAAATTCATTTTTTTACTCTATTGTGACAAAGTTTCATTAAAATCAGTATATGGCACCTCATAGGTGCCTTTGTTAATTTCTAATCTATATTGTTGAAGAAATTTTAACATTGAAATAACGTAACGATTGAAGTGATGATTGAAGTGATGCTGTTTGTGTTCTACGGGACAAGAATCCAAAATACCAAATTGCGACGTCACCAAAGAAACAAAAGAACGTTCTGTGAGAGCCCGCGGGCTGCGCAGCTCGTTACCTGCATGTCCACGTAAATGATTTTATTATCGTTCCTATAATATTTAAAGCGGGACTTGGGACTCGAAAGTGCGCCGGGCAGAGAAAATGTGATTCTGCTTAAATCGGGCGACAGTGCCCGAACGGTACTAAATCGTTTTTTGCTCTCTATTTTTTATACGGCCGTTCGATAATCAGTTTTGATCATCCATCGTCATACCTGTTATGGCGATCATCGGCGTCACGCCCCGTCGAGACTACTACTTTGTCGAATGAAGTTCTGTGGTTTCGATAGCTTTACCGTACGCGCTGTTACCATTTATAGAATCTGTAGAGCTTCCCGTGGCCTTGCGAAAATCTCCATCAATTTGCGAAGAAAGTGCGTGCGTCGATCAATACTCCGTTTTGTGCCGATTGATTTAACGAATACGTTTTTTTTTCTCAATATTTTGTACTCGAAAGAATACTGGCAATTTTACTCGATGTAAAAAAAAAGAAACGTTTGAATTACAGCCTCTCTTGTAAACTGTGCGTTTATTCATTTTTTTTTTACAATAGGAAGGAAATCATTTCAAGATCGATTTAAGTAAGGCTTTAAGACGATTACTCTGTTCAACGAGAGAATGACCTCGGTTTGCGCATAGCAAGCAATGTAACGCTATACAACGCTATGAACATCTGCGCAAAACGAACGAGTTTTCGTCCGATCCGAGATCATTTTAGTTTATCACATCTTGGAACTGCATTTACAGTTTATATTTCTCAAATATAAGAACGGTCTTATCATAGATATATCTTAAACTTCACCAAAGAAACATTGAGGAAATTTTTGTTGTCTATTGTTACTGACAACTGAAACAATTTGTCTCCACCAAATAAACTCATGAGATGTAATCCTGCTTCTATATAGAGTTAAGTATCTCATATTTCTGTTCCTAGCGACGACGAGGAACATCGAGAAACATGGAACTTTTACGGAAACAGGCAATAGAAATGCTAGTCTATGTTCCTTTAGTGCAATTTGTTCAATTTGAGTTCCGGTGCCAAAACGCAAAACCATTAACGTAAAAAAATTCAATGTTAGTAAGAGTTTAGAATTATAAAGCGTTGATAAGCGTCACTTAGATGCGTATCAACACTACAGCTCCCGAAATCTTATTCACATTGAATTTTTTTGCGTCGATGAATTTACGTTTTGGAGCTCAAATTGGACAGGCCTGCTTTATGAATACATAGCTTAATGCTTCTCTAACCCTCTCATATCTTATTTTCTTTCATCGTTTTCTTTTATGCCTGTGCGATCTGTCTCTGTGTCTCGTATCGTCATCGTCGTCCGGTCTTTTCCTCTCGTTATCACGATGCCGACGTTCCCTGTCATCATCCTTTCTACCTCTCCTTTCCAATCTCTCTTCGCTGTGATCTCTTCTTCGATCGTTGTTCTCGTCCCTCTTGCTTCTTCTTTCCGATTTGTCTTCGCTGTGACCTCTCCTCTGATCACTTCTATCCCTATCTCGTCGTTCCTCCCTTCTTCTTCTATCTTTTCGCTCGCTGTCGTACTTATTTCTCTCATGATGGTCATCATACAATCTATCTTCTTTTCTTCTGCCTCTGGTATCTCTGTCTTCTCTTCGGCGCTCGTAATTTCTGTGTTCGGAACCACGATCTCTATCACTTTCCTTTCTTTTTCCTTCCTCTTTACTTTTACCATTGTCATGATCCTTATTGTGCGATGCGTCAGGTTTCCTCGAGGATGAATAATTGTCCTCGCGTTTCTTCGGTTTATCATCCTCGTCGAAATACCGGATACCTTTCCCCTTGCCACGCCAACGCATCTTCGCGACTGATTGCGAGAAATCCACATGTATCCTTCGGTCGTCGATCAGAACGTTGTCCATCTTGAAATATGCATCCTCGCAGCTCTTACGATCCGCGAATTCGATGAATGCATACTGCAAGGAATCGCCCGTTTGATGATCTCTTATAACTTCACAACTGCAAAGTTAATGAAGCATAAAAATTTAACAAAAATATGTAATATATAGTTATAATAAAAAAAAATTAAGATATATCAAATAAAATGAGAAAAAATTAAAATTAGAATAAATAGGCTCGTATGATTGCGATGCAATATAACGGTAGCTTATTTCGAGCTTTTTAAACAGATGACTTAGAATAATATATTTAAATAGATTTTTTTAAGATAAATAATTCAATATAAAATTCAATATATAAACGTTAGAGAAAAAATTAATTAATAACAAGAACGTTAACTTACAATACGTAATTAAAAGCATAATGAAGTACGCACAGAAAATATTAATTACTTGTTTCAAGTATTTAAAAAGTTCGTATATCCGCAAATCTGTTATTCTTCCAATCATATAAAATTATTAAATTAAATTCGATTATATAAAGTCGCTTTTTTGATAAAATTTTATATTTTTAAAAAGAAAATTCCGTGTTTTGAATACATAATAATAAGATTGTTTTTTTCTCTCTTCTCTCTGTCTAAAATTTATAACATATATTTTAGTAAAGTATATTTTAATATTAATTATACAGAAAATATAAAAATGCTATTACTTAAACAAAAAGAACTAAGTATTCATTTTTCTTAACAATAGAATAATATTTTTCTGTATGTATAAAAGCTAATTACATACCCAACAATTTTTCCAAAACGACTGAAGATAATTTCAAGATCGTCGTCGTTCGTGACTGGATTTAATTTACAGACAAACAAGACGTTTTCCGGCGGGGCAATATCCGCGTCCGGTATATCACCCACAATTTCTAATATCGTGGCTCTCGCTTTCGCTTCCTTGTTCTTCTGCATTTCCATGATCTCTTCTGTGGTCATGCCGCCGGTATCGTCGATTGTTTCATCTGCTCCAATTCTATCGCTCTAAACATGAATAAATATGAATTAAAAAAGCAGATAAAGGAGATAAAGGTAGGGTAATAAACAAACGTAAAGATTTGTTAAAAAGATATGTTAAAAACTTACACTTATAATAAGTAAAAAGCATGAAAAGAAATACATTTGCTAATTTAGCCTAGCAACTGTGATCAAATTTATTTAATATCTGTTTTATGTGTCTTTTTATTGTATTCAATATAATCTTGATAGACAGTACATCAAACCAATATATCGATAAATTAAAAAGAATATGATAGAATTGCAAGCTTATTTTTAAAATGCATACCATTAGAGCTTCCTTTGTAGGTTCCGGACTTCTGTCCGGAACTACAAATCCCACAGGATCGTCAAATGGATCTTCCAAAATGACAGTATGAGATATCCTTATGTCCTGATATGGCCTTTGATCTCCATCGCAGATGGTCTCGTTAAATTTGAGGATCACTTCCAATCCTTCTGTTATCTCTCCGAACACGCAGTGTTCACTGTCCAAGGATTGTAGCTCTGATCCCAGCGTAATGAAGAACTGAGAGCCCAGCATGTTGTTCCCACAATTCACCATGGATAACAAACCTACACGGCTATGTTTGATCTTTGGTATCTGTTCAGCCTCATAGTAACGGGCTTTTTCACCCAGTACAATTCCATATACGCTCTCTCCGCCCTTTCCAGTGCCAGTGGGATCACCGGTCTGTGCAATGAAATTGGTTTGCACCGAGTGGAAAAGATTCCAGTTGTAGTACTTTAGTTTGCACAGCTTCAGGAAATTCTGCGTGGCTATAAAGACAAAAATAATTATGTAGAGAAGAAAGTTCTTTATAAATGTTTGTATTTTTTTGTATTGTACTTTGTGCACTCAAAATAAATAAAAATTTAAAAAATTTAAAGTAAATAAGAAAAGTAGACGTTATAAAAGAAAGAGGAAAGATGAAAAACTTAACAAATACAAAAAGATTACTGAATAGATCTAGATACAGAGATATAATCTAAATTCATGTAGTGTGTACAACATATATTTTAAATATTTATTTTTATAAATTACAATTTATGAATAAAAATACTTACTCAAAGTACTTACTTTGAGGGCGTTCATCAGTGTACAGATCCACTGTGAAATCTCCTATGGTAGTTTCTATCACCACGGCCATGTTTTTTTCCAAATTTTTTAATTATTAAGTAATAATCCCAATCTCTCCTATAAAAAATAATTATTATTTCAAAATCATATTATATATATATACTTGCTATACATTATACATAAATCTAACCCCTTTTTGATTGATCCCTCTGGTTGGAAGTGCCTTTTATCACCTTAGAGTACAAACAAAAGGTCTCTTGCTTTAAGTTATTATTTCTGTTTTACCCAATTTTTCAATTTTCTTTAATAAATTTATATATAAGTATATGAGGAACAGTCAACAAACTATTAAACTAAAAATCTGTTTTCTGTAGCTAAACTAGTGTACACTTTTGGAACTTAAAGTGAAATAGATATACGTTTTGTGGAGACACATTCACACTTCCATTTACACACACACAACACACCACACACACACACACACACCATTCTCACATTCTTTCAGTTATACTTCACCATGCCTTATCGTTCAAACTCACACACTCCGCAACCAGATGGCGCGCTCTCACGAACACGATACTGAAGTTTCCATCTAGACACACTTCTTCGTTCTTTAACCGTCCAGACACACAACACACTTCGCATTACATTGTCACGATAAGGTATTATATATGTGATAATAAATTAACGTTATTACTTGTGAATCTGAGTTTCCTTCATTACCTACATTTATTATATGTAGCAATCCGCTACAGTTTGATATTTGTTTAAAGTGAGAAAAAGAGTTCTAGAACAGTCTTCAGGAACAAAAGTTAGGTATTAGATTAGGTTAGTGTAGTAAAAATTTATAAACGATTATCTAGAGGTCACGTCTGTCGTAACACATCACATGATCACATACACACAAATTTCAAATTTCAAGTGGTTTCAAATCCATTTGTCATTTTAAGCTGTTCTAAGCTGCTATTCAAGCTGTAGGTAGATCCTTTTGAACGATTTCACATGAATATTGTCTCGTTTTTCTTCAGAAATTTTTTTCGGAGCATAACACGAGAGAGAGAATTACAATTAACGAAAGCATCAAAATTAAAGAGACTTTCCTCTTTCCATGATAAGGTTATAATTATTTAAGAATATTTCTTAATATATTTAATACTCTATAATCTTTAATAATCTTTATATTTAATAATAATATATGCGAATATATTAAAATATTTAATATTAATATATACCGATATATTAAAATAATATTTATACATTAATGATTTTGTGATTATATATGTAAAAGTATACAATATATTCCACATAAATATGTAAATATATGACATAATATTTATATATTAAATTATATAATTTTATAAATTACGTATTATAATAATAACGCCCCCAGTAAAAAGTTTTTCATGCATGAATATGTATAAATATGTATAAATATACATAAATATTCATAAACATATATAATTTTATAAATATATGCTATATCCTTCTTTCTTTTGTAAAATTATTTTTTTGTGTAATAGACATAACAATAGTAATGTGAAAACATTAAAATTATTAGTTGAAAGAGTGATTTTCACACTATTTTAGAAAACATCAAGTTTAAAGAAATGTAAAAAAATTACTTATGTGAATAATATATATAAAATTATATATTATTGCATAATTGTATATGAGCAATTTTTTTCAATATTTTTCCAAACTTGTTTTTTTCTGAAACGAACAATGCGAAAATTATCCCTTTAATTATTTTTTATGTTTTTACATTATTATTGTTATTTCTATTACACAAAAAAATAATTTTACAAAAGAAAGAGGGATATATGGACTTATTTTATATATGATCATACGTTTATGAATATTTATATATGTTTATACATATTTATATATATTAATGTATGAAAAATTTTTTACTGAAATCTATACGCGAGTAGCACAGCAACGCTTGTAAAACACTAAAAAAGCGATAATAGCGCTTTGTAAGCGCTGTATATTACTTGGATATGCAGAGTGTCTTACAATTACCGCATTTCCTTTTAAGAATGTTTAGAATTCTTGTTAAGAATTCTTGAGGTAATTTGAGACGAAAATCCTAATACAAAAATTACATACAAATTCTAATATTTTCACTTGATAGGTAGGAAATGATACTTAGCAAAAAATGTCGAGGCTACAATAGTTTTTGAACTATAATTGGTTAAAGACAGTGTGTAATTTAAAAACTATTATAGTCTCAATATTTTCATATTAGGATTTTTGTCTTAGAATGTTCAAAAGAATCCAAAAATAATAATAGAGGCTATAAAAGTATAATGATTTTTTATTTATAAGCATTTAAAGTTAGCTTACAATTAACCTTTAGAGGACTGGTCACTATAGTGGCCAATAACAGAAGTTTGTATAATTTGAATCTCGGTTGATAGGACGTCATTTTCCAAGAGCACTCGACAAAAGTCGTCGATAGCATTTGTGTTCATTACATCAATTCAAACGTCGAACTCGATATTACTGTGCATTTTACGATACTACATTATGCATAACACCTTGTTTCGAAGATTTTCATACAAATTCTAATATTTTCACTTGATAGGTGGGAAATGATACTTAGCAAAAAATAATATAAATAAAAAATAAATAAAAATAGAAAATAAATAAAAATGTACAAAAAAGTAAAAAAAAAAAAATAAAATGTAAAAAAAACGAAAAAAGGGACTACATAAATAACTTTCTATGTCGACGTCCTGGATTACGCTAAATGTACATAAATATCTATATGTTATTCAATTCGACTTATCTAGACTTATCTAGGTAAATAACATTATTTCTATATAAAATTTCGATAATCTGATTTCAGAAACGTGTTCTGCGTCATCAAAAACACTTAGAAACATTAAAAACAAAAAAATGAAAATTTTTCACAGCCGTCCTGTTGCGGATCGGACTGACTACTATAGTGGCCACTATAGTAGCGGAAAATTTGTCGACTCTTCATGACATAAAACATTCAATATACATGAATTTTACATAATTCAAAATTTCAAGACAAAAATGCCGGCCCTCTAAAGGTTAAAAAGATATTGTAATCTCGACATTTTCGTATTAAGATTTTTGTCTCAAAATTATCTCAAGAATATGTCCTTAAGAGGAAATATGGCAGTTGTGAGACATCCTGTGTATATATGTACACACACACACACACACACACACACACAGACACACACACACACACACACACACACACACACACACACACACACAATATATGTAAATA